CCACATACAGCAACTAGAAGGATGTGCAGCTATGACATACAACTATCTACTGGGGCTTTGGGGAAAAATAAATAAATAAATAAAATTATAAAAAAAAATATATATGTATATATTTTCTGTACAAAATTGATTTCACATATAGTATTTGGCAGTCTTCTTTTTACAGTTACATTATAGACGTTTCCTCATACCAATATTCTTCTAAAACTTCATCTCTAATGGCTGTGGAATATTTCACAGTATAGCGTTTAAAAAATGAAAATACTTCTTTTTCCAAGAATCAAGTGATGTGCTCATTCCAAAAAATTCAAACAGTGCAAAAAATACAGAAATTATAAAACTTATGTCAACCATAAGTCTACCTTCTAGAAATATACATTATTAATATTAACTTCCAGACTCTCCCTCTATATATATAAACACACACACACAATATTTTAAGTGTGATTATGCATGCTGTTTTACGACTTTTCCTTTTTTAAAGAAATTGCTTAATGGAAATCACGAGGTCTACCTAGAAGGAATAGTAAAGTGTTAGTGGGGGGGGGGGGGTCCAAAATCAAATGTTTTTAGCATGCAAGGCCTGAAGAGGACCAATCTTCATTCTTCAAAGTTCAGATAATAGGGAATGCTATGGCCTGTATCCAAAATGGAACTTTTGAAGCCTTACCCAAAGTCACTCACATTGAGAAACAAAAGGAAACAAAACACTGAAGGCCAAAACAAACAAACAAAAGAAAGAAAGATAGAAAGAGAGGGAGAGAGGGAGGAAGGAAGGAAGGAGAGAAAGAAAAACCCATAAAGCAAACTAGGACCCTCATACATTGCTGATGGGAATGCAAATTGGGCTACCGCTTTGGAAAAGAGTTTGGCAGTTCCTCAAAAGGTTAAACACAAAGTTCCATGAGTCAGCAATTCCAATTCTAGGTATATATTAAAAAGAAATGAAAACATACATCTGTCTATACAATAACTTGTACAGGAATCTTCATAGCAGCATTATTCTTAATAGTGAGAAAAGTAGAAACGACCCAAATGTCTGTCAACTGATGAAGGAATAAGTAAAATGATGTGGTATATCCATATAATGGTATATTTGACAATAAAAAGGAATGGGTAGTGATACATGCTATGACATGGATGAACCTTAAAAATGCTATGGTAACTGAAAGAAGCCAGTCACAAAAGATCACATATTATATGATTCCATTAATATGAAACATCTAGACTAAGCAAATCTATAGAGACATAAAGTACATTAGTGGAGGTCTAGGGCCTGGGGGGTTGGGGTGAAATGGGGAGCGACTGCCAACAGGTACCGGTTTCTTTTTTGGAGCGATGAAAATGTTCTAAAATTGATTGTGGTGAGGTTGCACAACTCAGTGAATATACCAAAAACCATTGAATTGTATGCTTTAAATGGATGAAGTGTGGTATGTAAATTACATCTCAAGAAAGCTGTTAAAAAAAGCAACTCAGGGCATTATACTTCGGAAGGACCATAATAAGATGGTAAATAAAGTGTTGGACAGATAAAGCCCTTAATAAGTGGTGGCTATTACTCATTGATGGGTATTTAGTTTGTTTTCTATGTGATGGGTATTTACCTTTTCTTCACCATGATCAATATTTTTAAAAGAACATTCTGTACATAGCACACAATATTGAGCACTTTTGCAGCCTCCATTTCCTTTCTAAACCTTTGGAGACGTAGAAGTGCTGATCAAATGTTACGTACACATTTTTTGGACCCCTCTCTCCCCAGAAAGGTGGGGTCAGTGGGCATTTCCTTGAGGGTATAGAGTGCCCACAAAGCATCCTTTTTTAGAGCTTTTCTGTTAAAATGGTAATACAACACACGCATAAAAGAGTCCTTCTAGTATTATTTCCAAAGGCCTCGCTTTGGTAAAAAGTTTTAGTATTGTTAAAATAGATATTCAAAGGATCTTCGTCATAATGCTTACAGTATTGGTGTAGGTTCTGTTAGAAACGCCATACAAGATGATTCTGCGTGGATCCCATTTGCGGAAGCTCGCATGCATTGCTTCAGGGGAAAACGTGGTCTCCAGCTCTATTAAGTTTCTCTGACTACTTCTAACAACGGGTATATTAGCCTCAATTCTGCTGCAGGTTGTGAACACATCTAAGTTGAACTCAAAATACTTAGTTTGACTTTTAAACAGCTCAAGTGGTAACAGGTGGGGAGAGGGCTCCGCCGAAACGCGCGAGGAGGTGTGGAACTGTGGAATTTGAGTCAAGAGAAGGCCACCCATTTAAAAAAGAGAGCGATGCGAAAGAATTTGCAGCACACAGTATGTACATTTTTGGGCACCCTCTTCCGCCAGAAAGGTTGTAACGGGGCAATTGGAGCCCCCAAAGTTGCTTTCCCTAGGTGAGGAAGTTACTCCAGGGCTACCAACGCTTCAAGAAGCTTAAGGGCAGGATGCCCGCGCGCAGCGGAATGCAGATGCGCGGGGCAGGCGGTGTCCGGGCAGTTTACTCCAGGGCGGCTGGAGGCACACACCGGCTGGAGCGGGCAAGCAGCGGGCACGGGGGGGCGGGGACGTAGGGGCGGGTCAGCGAGGGGAGGGCGATTGTGTCGGGAGGCGAACAGGGCGTAGGCGGCGGCGGGAGGAGCCCAGACCCAGTGATGTAAGGAGTAGAGGGATCCCGCCGGGAAAGTCGGCGCTGCGCAGTGAGACCCCGGGGGTGTGGGGCGGGGGATCCCAGTCCCCGCCCTGTTTTCCCCGCCCCTCCCCCTGCCTCCTGCACGCCCCTCCCCCCTCCTCCCCTCTGGTTGGAAAGTTTCTAGAATCTCTTCCCAGCGGCCTTTGCGGTTCCAACATGGCGGAGCTGACGGTGGAGGTTCGCGGCTCCAACGGGGCTTTCTACAAGGTACCGACCCTTCTGCTGCTTTGTCCGGTCTGCTGGGGGCTGGGGCAGGTTTGCGGGAGGGTTGGTGGTCCGGGAGAGGGAGGTTTGGGGTCGAAAAGGGCGGTCAGGCCAAAGCCCGGGGCCGCAGGGTTCCTCGCTTCTCCCCCCTCCACCGCGGTTTAACGGTCTCGGGGGCCCGGGCTCCGTTATGTTTTGAAACAACACGCCGGACACCTCTTGTGTTTTCCTGGTGGTGAACCCTCCTCGGGGATGCTAGTGCAGCCCTCGGCGGGCCGGGGAGGAGGAGCCGAGCCGCTGCTGGGCGGCGGGGAGGTCCCTGGGAGCAGGCCCGAGCTGGGCGGTGGGGGAGTCGTGAAAGGAGGCGGTGGGATTGTGTGGTCACAGCGGCTCCCCCGCCCCTCGGACGGGGCCGAGCGGGAGCGCCTGGGCCCGTGGCTCCGACCCCTCCCCACCCCCTTGGGGGAGCGCGTCTCGGAATCTTAGGAATTCACCTTTGTACTGGGGTTTTGCGCTAATAAACTTCAGCGTCCGAAGGGGAAGCGGGTACCGGATTGAGGGTTAGGATCGAGGAAAGAAAACTAGAAAACCTTGAAGTGTGGCGGGTTGAAATATTTTTGCGGCCTGGGAAATTGGGCGGCGCCTTAGCCCCTTTATTACGGAAGAAAAGGCGAGAGTTCTAGGCGTTAAAGTAAGATTTAAAGTGTGAGATGGATCACGGAGGCAGGTGGGGGAGGTGACTCGTTTTTTTATATCAGTTGTCCAGTGTTTTGGGAAGGAAGTGTTGATTTTTTGTTTTTTCCCCCACGAGGTTTTTTGTTTGTTTCCATCGAGAGGAAGGAGATGCATTACTATGGGGATAGGGGCTGGAAAACGGAAGAGGAAATCAAGAGTAGAGGAATTTAGTAGGAGCTTTCAGTGTTGGGGTCACTTAACTGAAAATGAAATCCTTACAGTTTAGTTTTGCCATTATAACGGTTCCTTCTCCCTATTCTCCCTTTCTCCCGAAGTGTGCCACGATGTTACAAGATCAATACCGAATCTCCCCAGCTGTTGTCTGTCAATCAGTCTCACTAAGCCAGCATCTCAGATGTTTGAGAGTCCTGGCTATTTTTATGGAGGGCCTTCTCCTAATACAGGAGTAATGTGCATACGCAGAATGTATTCTCACTGGGTTTCATTTCAGCGTACCTTTTATCGTACGGGATTTTATTTTATTTGGTGGTCGTAATTTACTATTTGCAGCGTTGTTTTCCTTTCCTAGTTTACTGATTAGCTGTGTGGATTTGGTTTAGCTGTCACGTGGTAAGAGCGTAGTGGGGAATCACAGTTGGCGTCTAAAGGATCTCCCTAAGCTTTTTACAAATTTAAATCTCCTTAGGTCGTCAACGTAAAGTAAAGACAGTGTCTGCCTGGGGGAAAGGAGTCTTTCAGTGCGTGACGAGTTATATTAGAAGTCTAGGTGTAAACTTGGTGTCAGACAAAGGACCTAAGTGAAATTTGAGTAGACGTTTAATTGACTTCTGTTCTTATTGAAACCTAGTGGTTGCCTTCTCTGAACCACTGCGTATACAGTTGTGGCACAGTGCACAAAGAATGGGCTTACTATACTTTTCCAGTCAAGGGTAGAAAAGGGTCATCATTTTTGAATCAACACCCCCACCTCCCCCCGAAAAGTTTCAAATTCTATTTGGCAGTACGGTCCTTGTATAAGATTAGGAGGTGTGCGTTTTTTTCTTGCATACTGAAAAATAGAAAAGGATTGTTTTGCCTTTACAAATCATTTTGCAGCATGTAAATGGTAGGTAGGCGAACACCATTTCTTTTTAGCCGAGTATATTTTATGTTGGTCGCCTGCTGTGCAAGATATTCATTTCTTCCTTTTTAAATGAGATTCATTATGTAATATCATCAGTTTGAAAGTTTTAGTAAAAGTTGTTTACAATCTTTGGTTTCTCATCGTATTTTTTTTTAAATCAATATACAGTAAATCAAATGTTCCCATTTTGGAACTCGGAAGTATTTATTGTTGGTCCCCATCCATACTCTACAAAGCTGCTTGATTCCACTTAGACCTTGACTCCGTTACCCATTTTTACGTAACAAAGTAAGGTGGTTCTCTGGCAGAGGTTGGGAAGAATGCTAGCCACGTTTGTGTGTACTAAAATAATTGCACTTGAACGTTTGGAATTTTATGTTCTCCCATAATCCACTTGTACATGCACTCTGTGGAAACTGTGCTCTTCCAGAGTGAGAATGGTGAGGTGGAACGATCCCTGGATTTGAAGTTAAACAAATTGGAATTCTAGGTCTGTACTTCAGCTTGTCATTATCTAGTAGTGGACCCCTAAACAAATCTTCCTAGATCTATTTTCTTTTGTATAAAATGAGGGGTTTGAAGTAGTTCAGTAGTCTCCAGTATTTTTTATCCCGTGAAACCGCCCACTTGGAAAAAAATTGGTTTACTGCACAATTTATTTTTAACTGTGAATTTTTGAGATTAATTTGCATATAGTAAAATTGACCTTTTTTGGTGTACAGTTGTATGAGCTTTGATAAATGCTCACGGTTGTGTAAACACCCCAACATGATGAAGAGAGAGAATAGTTAGACCATCCCCAAAATTTTCCTTATGTTCCTTTGTAGTCAGCAGCCTCTCTCCTCACCCCCAGACCCTAGGGGTGGTTTTCTGTCCCCATAGTTTTGCCTTTTTCAGAATGTCCTATATGAGGAATCATACAGTGTACTGGGTAGCGTTTTGAGTCTGACTTCTTTCATTTAGCATAGCAGCAATTTTAAGTAATTTTTTCTAATTTAAAAAATAAATACACGGTCAGTGAAGGAATTTTGGGAACCGTCAGAAAAAACCAGTTGCCTTGAGATAACAGCTGTTAACACTTTGGTGTAGTATTTTTTGTTTCATTGGTGGTTTTCAGTGTACAGGTGATTCTGATTTGCCTCTTCCTTTCCTCTTCCCTTTGCCCTCTACACAGACACACACACACTTGGCTGTAAATGTGTATTGCCATTGAAGAATTTCAAAGTCATGGGATTAGTAACCAGTATCATCATGCCTTGAGGCAGTGCTCTGTAGACAGTGATTAAAGATTTTCTAGTGGAACTGAAACTTCATTTCACAAATTAATTGGAACTATTGAAAAGCTGAAGATTTGACTGAATAGGAATCTTTTTTTCCCAAAAATATTTACACAAATAGTAGCAAGCTGAATACTTTGTTCTGCATCTTGATTTTTTTTCTTAGCAGTAGTTAGAGAACAACTTGATATGCTCATGTTTGCAGCCCTATAAATCTATGGGGATTGGAAAGAATGAGAGATAGGTTAATTAAGCATTTGATGGGGGATATCATTTTATATAAAAATTTGCTTTTATAGCCTTTCTACCTGGAGTGCAGCATCTGAGGGTTTATACTACTGGCTTTTTAAGGTGCCTTTTTTTCTTTTTAAAGCTTTGAGATAGACTTTACGCTCTGTGATTGTTATTGTATTTACAATGTTGTGTAATTTTCTTTTAGAACATTTCCATTACTGCTCAAAAAACCCTGTGCCCATTTGCAGTCATTAAAATGCTTTTTAACTGATGTATGTGATGTTAAGATTTGTAATAGCATTGCAACTTGCATAGCCGTGACAGAATATAATTTTAAATAGAAGTTGGGCCGGCCCCGTGGCTTAGGGGTTAAGTGCGTGCGCTCCGCTGCTGGTGGCCCGGGTTCGGATCCCGGGCGCGCACCGACGCAGCGCTTGTTGGGCCATGCTGAGGCCGCGTCCCACATACAGCAACTAGAAGGATGTGCAGCTATGACATACAACTATCTACTGGGGCTTTGGGGGGAAAATAAATAAATAAAATCTTTAAATAGAAGTTGAAAGTTAAGTCTCAATTTCTGGCTCATATAGAGGAAAGTTTCCACGGTGTTCCAAGGAAATATGTAATCTCTAAGATGGCTGAATGAAGTGTGAGGTGTTCTCCATAGAAGATGGAATTAATTTTAGAGCTCTGCGATTTCTGCTTTAACTGTGTAATTGGTTGACTACAAAACAAATTTCGAAGTACTACAATATTTCCAGAATTTATTACTTCAGCTTAATTTAATGTTAGAACGAAATGTGAGATTCACTAAATTTTGGAGTAGGTTTATTATCACTAATGATGATCTGTAGAGTTGTAGTAAAGGAATTGTGTTCTGAGAGTGTACTGACTTTTCACAGTTAGTATGGAATATTGTTGATTTTTTTTTTTGTGAAGATCAGTAATTGAGGAAAAGATGGTGTCTGTCTTAATAATATTAGGGAAATTCTTTTAAATTAAAAAACATACTGTTCCAGATACTTTAAAGGTAATTTTTAGTTGTACGTGTTTTAACATGCAGTTTTTATAAAAATGTAGAGGAACTAAGATTTAACTAACCGAAAAGGCCATTTAATTTTTAAAAATTAAACTTTTTTTTTTGTATAACGAGAACCATACATGATTATGAAAAATCTGAAAACCGAAAAGCAAAAAAAAATCTTATTTACCTAGAGATATATTGTTAAGGCCTTGGCTCTGTACACTTAACGGAAAATAGACTTTTTTCCGTATTTTTACTTTTATGCACCTGTATATTTTATGTGTTATCAAATGTTTGCCTTCTGTAAGATAATAGTATAGAGTACAAGTGCATGTTATTTACTAGATATCTATGAAGCTTATACCTATATTTCCTGATTTGCGCTCTCAAGGACTCCATGAGGTATTGTTTTTTATCCCCATTTTAAATATTAGGAAACTGCAATGGTGAGTAAGTAACTTGTCCAAGATTACTCTGTAGCTGAAATGAGATTTAACTCTAGGGCTTCTTACTTCCGATTGCCTAGTTGAACATAGCATTAGAGGTTCTTCAAAGGAAATCTCAGGGTAGTGAGTTTACATTTTGGTTAGGAAGACAGTGCAGATACTTGACTGGATTATAACTCAAGAAATGAATTCTGTACCACAGT